ATGATTAATAGTTTTATTTCGTTTTTCTTTTGGTTCGAGGATTGACTTCATCTTTTATTTATTTATTCTTTATCTTTTATCTAACCCATAATTCATCAAAATTATTCCATGGTAAGAAATATCCCAATTCATGTAAATATTCATTTTATCTGATCAATTTATTTCAGCCATTCTTGTTTCCACTTCCAGTTCCAGTTGGTTAGTGCTCTGCTCACGGGAGATGTGAAGACGCTCGAACAGATGGCAAAAGATGGTGTTAATCTTGATCCCGCTTATATATACAACAAAGGCCATGGTAGTAACACTATTTTTTCTTCTCACCCAAACCCCCGCTATGTCTCTCCCTCTCTCTCTCTCTCTCTCTCTCTCTCTCTCTCTCTCTCTCTCTCTCTCTCTCTCTCTCTCTCTCTCTCTCTCTCTCTCTCTCTCTCTCTCTCTCTCTCCGATCTCACTCCTTCCTTCCCTTCTCTTCACCTCTCGTCATTCCAGGCAGTCATCTGTTTTAAACACCCATGGGCTGGATCAAGCAAGCCGTGGGTTAGATGAACTCCCCCCTCTCTCTCTCTCTCTTTCTCTCCCTTGCTCTTTCTCTCTCTCTCTCACTCCCCCGTTTTCCGTCTCTCCCCCCCCCCCCTCTCCCTCTCCAACTGAGTCCTCAAAGTATAACGTATTGAAAATTTCACTAAAAGTAACCCTTTGGTCACAGGCAACCCATGTAAAACTCCATAACAGTAAGCAACCAAAAACAAGTGATAACATCGACCCACGCCCTTCTGCGCAGGCTTCCGGTCCGTCCACTACGCAGCCAAGGGCGGTCACCTCAGTGTCCTCAAGATGCTGCAGAGGAAGAAATGCAAACTGAAAGCCACGACGCCCGAGGGCCTCACCGCCCTCCACATCGCCGCCGAGAACGGCCACTTGGCAGCCACCAAGTGGCTGATCGGCTTCGCCGGCCTGGACGTCGCCTGCGTCTCGAGGGCTGGGCTTACGGCGGCGGACCTGGCGGCGCGGGCGGGGAGCGCGGACGTGGTCGCCTACTTGCAGGACGTGAGTGCGGGCGGCGCAGTGGAGGCAGAGTGGTCACGGCACATGGCGTGTGTGAACACGCACACAGACATACACTTACACACACATACATGCAGCAATATATATGTATGCATATGTTCCTCCGTTTCTTTGCATTTCTTAATTCCTCTTTCCCTTTACTAGCACGACGTTTTAAAAGCCCTGCTGGACGGAGACACTCAGGTAGTCAGAGGAGCGCTACAGACAGGCACCGACGTCGACAAACTGTGCATGGAGAAGAACATTAAAGGTAAACACTGAACCTGCAATGGAGGCAAAGTGAAAAACGACCAAAGGCGATGATCTCGTGACCCATTTGCGTCCTCCCAATAACCTCCCGTTATCATCTACAATATATTCTTTTTATTTACACTAGATACATCATCCTTGTATGCATATTCTTATCGTCTATTTATTGTTACATTTCTCGATTCATGAACACATTTATCCTTTTCTTATTATGTACCATATTCTTAGGTTATTCACTTATTTTCATATATCTTTTCATCAACTATTTTCTTTATTTATTGTTATCTAATTATCATTAAATGCTTGATTATTGCATTCTATTCTACTATATTACTTGCATTACCAATTTCTCTGCATTATGAACCTGGGATTATCCATACACACACTCATATATACACACACACACTCACATATACATATACACGTCTGAAGGTTTCTCCCCAGTTACGTCCGAAATCCTTCTCTCTTTACGTCTGAAGGTCCCTCTGCCTTTATCCTGAAGATCCTCCTTTACATCAGAAGGCGCGACCCCGTTTGTGTCTGAGGATCTTCACATGGCAAAGATCTTCAGACTTAAAACAGAACTTCTGAGTGACAGTGTCAAACGCCTCAGGTTTTCAGGCTGTCCACTACGCCGCCAAGGGAGGCCAGGTTCCCATCCTTGAAATCCTGAAGGAGAGCAATTGCAACCTAAAGGGTGTAACTAACGAGGGACTCTCGGCCCTGCACTACGCCGTCAGATACGACCAACTGGACGCCGTGAAGTGGCTGGTGGAGGAGGGGGAGCTGGACGTCTCCTGCACGAGTAAGAAGGGGTCCTCCGCCTTGGACTTCGCAAGGGACAAGAAGAAGCAGGAAATCGCTGCTTATCTCGAGAGTGTGAGTGATGGGACTCCATGCCAGGCATTTTGGGGCATTTCCTGATTTTTTCCTTCTTCATGAAGGCCTTCTCATTCTCCTTCTCTCACTCACTTTCTCTCTGCCTTCTCTTTCTCCTTCTTTCTCTCACTTTCTCTCTGTCTTCTTTCTCCTTCTCTCTCTCTCTTACTTTCTCTCTGTTTTTGTTTCCGTCTCTCATATAAATGGTAAAAAAAAAAAAAAAAACACCACAATACCCTACAAACATCACAATAATAATAATAACAATAATAAATCTACAATGATAATGATACCAATGATGCTGGTG